CCTGCTGGGTGCCCCAGAAATAGAACAAGGTTATAGTAAGGACCCCAAAAGAGACCCGAGTCCAGAGAGAAACCCCAAACCCCAAACCCCAAACCCCATACCCAAAACCCCAAACCCCAAACCCCAAACCCCGAACCCCAAACCCCAAATCCCAAACCCCAAACCCAAACCCCAAACCCTAAACCCTAAACCCTGAACCCTAAACCCCAAGCCCTAAATCCTAAACCCTAAACCCTAAACCCTAAACCCTAAACCCTAAACCCTGAACCCTAAACCCTAGTTTAGAGCTATCTGAATCCGAAGCCCCAAAGGTCGGTTGCCTTGCCGGCGTGGTCGGTTCCTTCGCGGGGTGCCGTGAGAAGGGATGCTCTCAGACCAGGATGGGCGGTTAAGGGTTTAGGGTTTAGGGTTTAGGGTTAGGGTTTTAGGACTTAGGGTTTCAGGTCCAGGGTTGAAGGGCTTAGGTTTTCGGGCTTGGAGTTTGGGGCACTTTGGGGGCTCAGGATGTCTTGGCAGCCCAGTGGTACCCTTTTGCCTTTGTTTGGGTTCTTGGTTCTCTCACAAATCTAGCCAACCCCCCAACAGGAGTACCTGGGAGAGGGGAAGAACTAAACTCTGAACTGACACCCACCGACCCAGCCCCAAACCCTGAACCCTAAACCTCACACCCAGCATGCAACACGGGGGTGGGGGGGGGCAGAGTGAAAACCCTCCCCTAAACCCAATTCTTAATAAACCCTAAACCCTAAACCCTAAACCTTAAACCCACCATGAACCACAGACCGGGGTGTAGGCGGGCTGTGGGAGAGGCCAGGCCACGGCACGCCACGCAGAGGCACGGCCGGAGCATCTCCAGCTTGGCTCAACTAAAGCCCAATCCCGGAGACAATGATCTCAAACCCTAAACCCTAAACCCTAAAAAAGGGGCTCTGCCGATGTCAGAGTCCCTGTCACGACGGATTCTGATGGAAAAAGACGGGATTCCTAGCTTATGGGTACTTGTTTTACAGGGTTCCTAAGGTTTAGGGTTTAGGGTTTAGGGTTTGGGGTTTAGGGTTTAAGGTTTAAGGTTTAGGGCGTGCCAAACGGAAGCGCGCTTTGGGAGCGCGCGGTAGTCTGCAGACCTACCCACCCCAAGACCGCCCACTTACAACTCTCAAGGAGCTAAGACCTTTTTTACAAAGCATCACATTGACATGTGTCAGCACTCACGCCCTTTTGGGGACCTCCACAAGGTGCGTGGACCAGGCACAAAGCTGCAGCAGGGCCAGGACAAGGCCAGAGGCAGGAAGACACTAGTACCGGGCATTTGCGATGAGCAGACGGAAAGGCGAGCCAGGGTCAGCGAAGACAGCTTGGGTTGGCGCGAAGGGCCTAAGGCCAGGGATAGCAGGGCCAGGAACAGACAAAGGCAGCGAGGCTTGGTTGGCGCGAAGGGGCTAAAGCCATGGAGGCAGGGCCAGGGAACACATGCAGTGAACAGCTTGGGTTGGCGCGAAGCGAGTGGACAGTTTGGGTTGGGCAGAGGGCCACGGAAACAGGGCAGGCGTGGACCAGACACAAAACTGGTCTGCGGACAGCTTGGTCAAGACGGATTCTGATGGAAAAAGACGGGATTCCTAGCTTATGGGTACTTGTTTTACAGGGTTCCTAAGGTTTAGGGTTTGGGGTTTGGGGTTTAGGGTTTAAGGTTTAGGGTTTAGGGTTTAGGGTTTAGGTTTAGAGTTTGGGGCTTAGGGTTTTCGGCTTAAGGCTCAGGGCTCAGGGCTCAGGGCTCAGGGCCTAGGGGTTAGGGGTTTAGGGGTTTAGGGTTTTAGGGTTTAGGGTTTAGGTAGGGTTTAGGGTTTAGGTCCTATAAACACCCCGAGCCCAATCATGTCCTTAATTGTGTTAAGAGACCTAAACCCAGAATCCTTGAGCCCTACAAGGCCCTGGGGCTTTAGAACCCTAACTAAGCCTAAACCCTAACCCTCAACCCTCAACCCTCAACCCTCAACCCTAACCCCTAAGCCCTCAACCCTAGACCCTAAATCCTAAACCCTAGATCCTAAACCCTAAGCCCTAAACCCGAAACCCGAAACCTGAAACCTGAAACCAAACTCCCAGAAGCCCTGGCGACAGGCCCGCAATGCCCGCCGGCCTGCCGACAGGTGTCGGGGGACGTTTGAGGATCATCGTATAGGGTTGTTTTCTGCTTCTGCAGGCTCACCAAATAGCCTGACCCCCCAAAAAGGCGCCCCTCCCAGATATCCATGAAACCCCACGCCTACAATGAACTTCGTGTTGACTTAAGGCAGTCTTAGCGTCAAGGGGTCTATAGGGTTAGGGACTTGGGACGCCCCCCCAGAACGAAACCCTAAATACATTTTGGGGTTTTGGGGTTTAGGATTCGTCCCAGGGCATCCGGTTCAGGGTTGGTCATACGGGTTGGGTCATCGCCACTACTGGAGCTTCGGGTCCTGAGACCCTAACCCTGGGTTTAGGGTTTAGGGTTCAGGGTTCAGGGTTTAGGGTTTAGGGTTTAGGGTTTTGGGTTGTTTACGGTTTAGGGGTTAGTGTTGTTTATGGTTGTTTAGGGTTGTTTGGGGTTGTTTAGGGTTGTTTAGGGTTTATGGTGTTTTAGGGTTTAGGGTTGAGGGTTGAGGGTTTCGTCAGCCCTCTGACCCTGGACCAGTGGAGGCCGCCCTCCACGTCGCTACGGCGCCCTGGGGCCACTTTTGCCTCACTCTGCGTGGCCTACCTGCTGGGCGTTGCCGCGGACCTAGGGTTCAGGGGGTGGGGTTTAGGGTTTAGGGTTTAGGGCTAGGGTTTAGGCTTTAGGGTTTGGGGAAGAGGGCTAGGGCCGGCTAGGGTTTAATTAGGGGTTTATGGTTCAGGGTTCAGGGAATAGTTCAGGGTTTAAGGTTTCGGGGTTTATGTTGATTAGGGCTGTTGGACAGTCAGCCTGCAACCCGAAGCCAAGATTGGAAGAGACCAAAGAGGTCTAGGGCCAAGAGCTTCAGCCGGAGGTTTAAGGTTTAGGGCTTTGGGACTGCAAACCCCACCAATGGCTCACATCAAACAAGCCGACCCCCTAAAACTCTGAAACCCTACAACCCGTGCACCCTGAAGCCCTACAACCCCTACAGAGCTTTCACCATAGACCCTAAACCCTGACCTTAAACCCTCAACCCTAAACCCTAAACCTCTAAACCGACAAGGAGGGGGGAGTCTCGAACCCTACACTCGGAAACCCAAACCCTAAAACTCCTTGTATAAACTAATTTGAGGAGATGGAGTCCAAAACCCTAAACCCTAAACTTTCGACCCTAAACCCTAAACCCGGAACCCTAAACCCTACACCCTAAACCCTAAACCCCAAACCCTAAACCCTAAACCCTCAACCCCAACAAGTCTTTGCACGAGGCCGCCACCGAGCTCATCGTCTTTGACTGCGGGCCCCCCAAGGCCGCCCCAGAAGCCCTGCATGGGGGGCTTCGGACTTAAGGGTTTAGGGTTGGGGGTTTAGGGTTTAGGGTTTTAGGGTTTCAAGGTTTCAGGGTTTCAGGGATTCAGGGTTTCAGGGTTTCAGGATTTCAGGGTGGGCTTTGGGGGTTTTAGGGGTTTCATCTTGAAGTATCGCTACTGCTTCAGTTTGGTCGCGTTGGTAGAATGGAGGTTTGGTCCGGCAGTCCCACTCACACTAGATAGCTGCTAGAATCCCTTGATTGTGTCGAGTACTCACTTTCCCCTTGTGGGAGTGTAGGAGGTCCCCCCCCCCCCCCCCCCCCCAAAGCCACAGAAGAAACTCCAATCCTTCACTTTCAACTCCACAGCCCCCGAAGCTCAAGCAAACCCTAACACCCTAACACCCAAAAGCCCTAAAGTCCAACAGCTCTAAACCGCTAAAAACTTCTTTTTAACACCCCGAAGCCCCAAAACCCAAAGCCCTAAAGTCCTAAAGCTCTAAACCGCTGAAACCCCAAAAATCCTAAACCCTAAGCACGCCCCTGGCTCCTCGACACTTAGCGGCATCGCCAGGGCCGAAGCAAAATCTCCGTTGATTCAACCCTCAGCCTTTATCCCAAGCCGCCGAACTTAAGAATCCATATATGGTCAGTTTAGGGTTTAAGGTTTAGGGTTTAGGGTTTAGGGTTTAGGGTTGAAGGTTTAGGGTTTAGGGTTTAGGGTTTAGGGTCTCAAAGATTAGGGTTTAGGGTCTCAAAGATGGCTGTTCCTTTTTGGGGCACGGCTCCCAAGATTTAGCAAGGCCCTCGCTTTGCGAGCTCCCCGGGTGCGGGTGTTTTTGTGGGTGGATGTGGGGTTTGCTGGGCCCTCAACCCTGAACCCTGAACCCTAAACCCTGAACCCTAAACCCTAAACCCTAAACCCTAAACCCTAGCCCTAAACCCTAAACCCTAAGGCCAAACATCCCCCCCCCCCCCCTAAGTTTGCAAGACCGACGCCTGCGGAGGCCGCTTACGCCTTTTACTTGGCTTCCTTGCCCTCGCTGGTCGCACCTGGGCTGGGTTCGACTGTTTAGGGGGGGTGTTAGGGTTTGGGGTTTAGGGTTTAGGGTTTGGGGTTTGGGGTTTGGGTTTGGGGTTTCGGGTTTCGGGTTTGGGGTTTGGGGTTTAGGGCATCGCAACGTGACTCGGGGAGGTTCATGGGGCACTTGCATTTGTTAGTGGGGGTCAGAAGTAGGGCAATCTCAGCTGTCATGGTTAGACCATCTCATCAAGTTGCAAAATCCCATGAACCTCCAAACGGTCTCTTTTAAGGGGTTAAAGGAGGGACCACCGGAGGGGACTCTTAATCTTATTCCCCTATATGACCCTCATACATGCCTTAGAAATAAACCCCCCAGATAACCCCTAAGGTCATTTACAAGGGTCCCTCCTTTAGTCCCTTGACTCTTGTTTTGTTGCGGCAGTTCCATGCTCCTCCGTCGTAAACGAGTCTTTTGGCTGTGTCAGGTTGATTGCACATGGAGTAGCCGCAGTGTGTATAGTTGCGGTGATATGGGAGCAGTCGCCTCGAGCCCGGCGCCTCCTGCGTCGGAATCCAAGCCCAGCAGCGCGTTTACTGGCCTCACACGACTTGGAAGGTCGGAGGAGACGACGCAGGCAGAGTCTGACCCTGAAGAATTCTCCTGCGTCATGGGTGATGTGGAGGGATCGTCGCTTCGACCGCGAGCTCGCTTGTCCAAGGTTGCCAGCTGGGAGCAACTGCCACAAAGCCACCGGGGCATTCGCTTGAGCGAGCTTTGGGATTTCTATCGTCCATGCCAGGAGTGGCTGGAAGACCTGCGCTGGCGATGTGACGTGTGTCTAGGAACCGGAGTAGGCCGTTATTTTCTTTGTTTTAACGTTTAGCTTCCCTTATGACCCCCTCTAAACCCTGTAGCTAGGTTACTCCTGGGTCTAGGTGTCATGGATCCTGCGGCAGTGGCGACGCTTCCAGCTTGGGACCCGAAGCTTGTGGCCTGTGCGGAGCATCGCCATCTCCCGGCCGTTTCGAAGGCCGAAACCTCTATGAGGTTGCGAAGCTGGGTAGCCCAGTTGGTACCCCTTTCCCTTTTTTTTGCTTCAAGGTTTCCCGGAATACAGTACCCAACCCAAAAGAAGGGTACCCTTTTTGACCCTAAACCCTAGACCCTAGACCCTAAACCCTAAACCCTAAACCCTAAACCCTAAACCCTATTTGTTATGCTAGGGTTACAAACACTACCAAGGAAGGAGATGATCATCCCTGCCTGTTCTGAGCTCCAAGTCTCCTATGTGGAGCTCCTCCGACAACGCGCAGCTAGGAAGGGTTTAGGGTTTAGGGTTTAGGGTTTAAGGTTTAGGGTTTAGGGTTTAGGGTTTAGGGTTTAGGGTTTAAACCTTGGACCAAGAGTAGGCGCTTCTTCCCTCTCTTTCTTGAAAGGTTCGGGCTCCCTTGTAACATTTCGAGCCCTTAACGCCAAAAATGGACACCCGGCTCCCTTTTAGGGTTTAGGGTTTAGGGTTTAGGGTTTAGGGTTTAAACCTCTGGGTCTAGGCAGCCGGCATGTGTGGAAGCTTCGACGGGGTCAAGGCTGACACCTTTGTGTCTCACTGGTGGGGAGAGGAGTTTCCCAAGTTCATGCGCGCCTGGGTGTGCCCTTGGGATATTTTGAAGTTTGTTGTTCGGGTTTCAGAGGGATCATCCTTAGCCCGAAACCCAAAACCCTAAACCCTAAACCCTAAACCCTAAACCCTAAACCCTAAACAGCCGGAATATTCTTTCCCCTCTATAAGGGGCCAACCGAGGAACCTTGGACAATTTCAGCCGCGCACGAACTGCGCGGCTACCCTGGGCGCGCTGCACCACCAGCTATCGTGACCCAGGCCTGGGGTTTAGGGTTTAGGGTTTAGGGTTTAGGGTTTAGGGTTTAGGGTTTAGGGTTTAGGGTTTAGGGTTTAGGTCGGACAAACAAACCGGTAAAGCTGTATGTGGCCCCTAAGGCCGCAATCCCTACATAACCCATCATATATCGTATAAACCCTACATTCTCGACCACATAATAGTTCTTTGCATTCTGTAGGGGCCCCCAAAAACCACAAATGGAGGAAGCTGGGCTTTTTGGATCTGTGCCTTTGCAAACAACCAGTATGCCATCGACCATGCGCTCGGTGACTCCACCGGCCACACTTCTCCGCGAACTGCTGTAGCTTTCCTGTAGGGTTCAGGGTTTAGGGTCAGCTAATAGTTGAACTTTGAGCATTGCTTGGGTTTAGGGTTCTAGGGTTCTAGGGTTCTAGCGTTCTATGGTTCTAGTTCTAGGGTTCTGGTTTATATTTTGTAGGAAGAATAAGAAAAGCCTGTCTCCTTGAAAAACTGGAGATGTAAGGTATTGTCTTCTGCCTTCGCGACCGCGTTGATGTCTGTGAGCGACGCGGTAGCCATCTTGGATGACCATGCCAGGATTTACTCACGGATTCCTAGTAGTAGAGTGGGTAACCTTTAACCTTTTTTGGGTAGTAGAATCCCCGTTAACCTTTAGTTCCCCCAGGCTACTGGACAACTAAGGATTTGGTGCTGCTTTGAGCTCTTCTCCGTTGCCAGGCTGCTGCCACAACGCCAGGGCATCAGACTGGAGATCTTCATCGCCAACGAAACTGGTGTGGTAAGCTCCGGCTGCGGGAACGTGAGTTCCATGAACATGTTGATCCAGAGCGTGAAGACAAGTGAGGCGCAGGCCTCGAACCCCGCGGACAAGGCCATGATACAATCTGCCATGGAAGCAGAGGGCACCAGCAACGACGACCTTGACAATGCGCTGCAGTGCCTGGCGCGGGAAGGTCAGCGTGCAGCGCGGCACCGTGCCTGCATCGAGTCGTGCTTCATCTTTGTCATCGCGCAGATTGTCCTTATCAATCTGGTGATATCTATGTACGCGATTGTTTACAACTACGACCCGGGCACAGAACACCAAATTCTGGACCTGATGCACGATGGCATCGAAACGGTGAAGCAGGTCAGCCGACACTTTACCATCGCCATGCTCGCGGGCACCACAATCCTGTTTGCATACAAGGCCTGCTACTGGCATTCCTCTGAGGGCTACTCGCGGCGAGTCCGTGTCAATGTCAACCTCGTCTTGCTGAACCTGTGCATCGGCGTGGTGATTGTCACCGTTGTCTTCCCGCTAACTCTCAATCAGTGGACGATGCTTCTCTTGTGTCTCTCCGGCTCCATCTACGTCATCTTGGCAATGTTTCCTTCTATATCCCCCTTGGGAATTGTTTTTCAATTTTTTGTTTATATAAATCCCAAGAGATATTCAAAAGATTCTTTTTATAGAGGTTCTAAGGGGAGTATAGCCTTGTCCCTGATGGTATCTTATGGTCCTATCACCTTTGGGGAAACTGCTGCAGCAAGCTAGCCAGGCAGGCCCTTCGGAGATTATGTATATTCATACAATGATATACATATATATATATATATATATATGATCCCGGTTCTCGGTTCGCCACCCCCCCCCCCCCCCCCCCCCCCCCCCATGGTATGTTCCCCCCCCTCCCACCCACCCACCCACCCACCCACCCCCCCACCCCCCCAACCCCCCTAAGACCTAAACCCTAAACCCTAAACCCTAAACCCTAGAACCCTAAAACCCTAAACCCCTAAAACCCTAAACCCTAAAACCAACCCACAACCACACCACGGGGGGGGGGGGGGAGGGAACCCTAACCCTAAACCCTAAAAACCCTAAACCCTAAAACAACCCTAAACCCTACACCCTAACCCTAACCCTAAACCCTAACCCCTAAAACCAACCCACAACCACACCACAGGGGGGGGGGGGGGGGGGGGGGGGGGGGGGGGGCAGGCCGCACGCATCATATATATATATATATTGCGTATATATATATATATATGTATATACATATATATATATATATGCATATTGATATTCGTTCTTCCGCATATTTGGGCAAAAAAAGGATCTCCAGGAACATTTTTCAGAGTGTTTAAGGGGGCCATTCTAGGTAGGTTTAGGGTTTAGGGTTTAGGGTTTAGGGTTTAGGGTTTAGGGTTTAGGGTTCAGGGTTCAGGGTTCAGGGTTCAGGGTTCAGGGTTCAGGGTTCAGGGTTCAGGGTTCAGGGTTCAGGGTTCAGGGATTAGGGTTTAGGGTTTAGGGTTTAGGGCTAGGGTTTAGGGTCTCGGTAGTCGTGTCGACCCTAAAGCCCAACTCAAAAACGTGGCGAAGGCTTGGACGCAGGCCTCTGCGGCGCTTCGTGGACCGTGTCTTCCTCTGACGCCTCCGACTGAAGGCGTTTTAGGGTTTAGGGTTTGGGGTTTAGGGTTTTGGGTTCAGGGCTCGGGGTTCAACTGAGTTTGCTAGCGCCGTGTTTTGGCATGAAACTGTTCTTTCCGCGGGCTCACAAGTGGCCCAATGGTTCTTAAACCCTACACCCTCAACCCTAAGACCTCAGCATAGTAGAACCGACGAAGGGCCTTTGCCCTTGGCACAGTTTGTTTGAAAGAGTTCGCAAGAGTCATGGCGCGATGCCTAATTCAGACGAACGGGTGGCGTGAGTCAGCTTCGCTGGTGTCCCTGTCTGACGCTGATCAAATTTCAACTCAAACCCTAAACCCTAAACCCTAAACCCTAAACCCTAAACCCTAAACCCTAAACCCTAAACCCTAAACCCTAAACCCTAAACCCTAACTCTGAACTCACACCAGTACCGTGGTGTTGGCAGCAGGAGGCCCAGCATTCGAGGGTTCACAAGTAGCCCGATCGGTCATTGATTTCCAGGTTGTTCTGCATCGTAGAGTATGCTGTTGTAGGGTCGAGGATACAGCACCACTAAAGTACGTACTACTCAAGTACGTAGTAGCCTGAGGATGTGTCTTCAGCTTGGAGTGACGCAACTTTCGGAGTACAGCTGCATGACCTACTGGCAAGCCTGCCAAAATTGCAGGGCCAAGTTGAAGAAGCGGCCAAAACGTCCGAAGATCAATTTAGGGTTGAGGGCTTTAGCGTACAGAATACTTGCTGACAGCTGGCCGCAATCTCTAAGCAGGAAGTCCAGATTCCGCCCACGTGTTCAAAGTAAACGTTGCTCCCCCCTTTCTCTGCATATTTGCGCGGAACTTCCACGCTGAGGAGGGTTTTCAAATAGATTTGATAATGCAGGTACCTTCGGAGCCAAGTGGCTCTTTTGGGCATCTAAACCCTGCACCCTAAACCCTCTACCCTAAACCCTAAACCCTATACCCTAAACCCTTTCCCTCTCAAGTGCTTCGCTGCAGAAAAGGCTTCTCGGGGCTGCCTCACTGGGGGCAATGGTTCAGAGTTTAGGGCTCATTTGGGGTTTAGGGTTTTAAGGTGTAGGCTTTAAGATTTCGGGTTTAGGGTGCAGGGTTTAGGTCCAGGGTCCAAAACAAATACCAATAATCCTGTAGAATCAGTCTACAATACCCAGATCAGCGGTCAACTAAATAGGCTCCCCCCAAAGTAGTTGCTTAAGCGATGGGCGCCCGTGTTTTTTCTTGGATAACCAGACGACATTGCGACTTGTTTATGCTTGTATTCCAGCTTCTGATCTTGTTCTTCCTACAGCAACAGGCACACGAATGCCAGCCCCAACAGTAGGCTAAGATGAGGGAGCCCGTTCTTCAACCTCATGGAAATGGATTTCATAAATGCACCTTGCACAGGGTTAGAAGAGATTGCAAATCTCATTAAGCCAAAGCAGGATAAATTCGCTTGGGTAGCGCCGAGTGCCGGACTACTTCCGTAGAGGACGAACGGAGCCTTGATGTAATACGTAGCCAGCGCACAAATGCCAGTGAAGCATAAGGGTGCACCCTTGCCAGGCTATAAGATAACCCTACAGCCTAAACCCTAGGCCCTAAACCCTAAACCCTAAACCCTGAAGCCCCCCGAACCCCTAAATCCGCCAAATCCAGGCATGGCCTCAGTGCCTGCGCATTGCCGACGCCCCAATGCTTGCTAGCGGGAAAGGGGGGGGAGAAGGGGCGGGGGGGGGGGGGGGGGGGGGGGGGGGGGGGGGGGGGGGGGGGGGGGGGGGGGGGGGGTGGCGGAATGGGGGGGGGGGATTAGGGTTGAATTCAGGGATTTTAGTGTTGCGGTTTCGTGGGGTTTGGAGTGATTTACCCTTCACGCTGGGGTCAAAACCCTAAAACTACACCCAAGCCTCTGAATGCCGGGGGCTGTTTTTTTCCTCCTGGAGCTTAAGGCTCTATATAAACTCTAAACCATGAACCCTAAGCCAAACAGGATCAAGGACAAGATTGAAGCCCTGAACCCTACACCCTAAACCCGAACGCCTCCAAGCCTGGAAGAGCGCTCTTTAGGCCCTTGGGGTAGGGTCTGGGGGTTATAGGGTGTCGGGTATAGGGTTGAGGGTTTAGGGTTTAGGGTTCAGGGCTGCGTACTTTGTGTGTGTTTGTGGGCTTTCTTTTACTACGAATTGCTTAAGAACCTCCTTGCTTCTAAGGGTATAGTATAGGGACTTGTTTTTTAACCATTTTTTTGGGGGTTTGAAAGCAGGCAGGTTCCAGGGCCGACCTATCAGTGCAACACCCACGGGCAAAAGCTGCAGGAAGAAAAATCTTGGCCGCCGTAGCCCAATAAGAAGGAAACTTGGGGGATTCATCATTAGCTCCTGTGGGTTCCCGTAGATGGTCATGGTTCCAACAGAAAAGTTGTACCCCTACAATACCCCCAGAAGAAAACTGTAATCCTGATTTTTGGAACCCACCGAAGAGTACCCCAAAGGTCCGAACACTCCAAATATTCTGTTGCGCCCGGGCCCTAAGCCCTAACCTTTAACCCCAAACCCTAAACCCCTAAACCCTAACCCCTAAACCCCTAACCCCCAAGCCCTAACCCCTAACCCCTAACCCCTAACCGCCAAACTCTAAACCCCTAATCCCTAAACCCCTGAACCCCTAAACCCCTAAACCCCTAAACTCCTAAACCCCTAAACCCCTAAACCCCTAAACCCCTAAACCCCTAAACCCCTAAACCCCTAAACCCCTAAACCCCTAAACCTCTAAACCCCTAAACCCCTAAACCCCTAAACCCCTAAACCCCTAAACCCCTAAACCCCTAAACCCCTAAACCCTAAACCCTAAACCCTAAACCCTAAACCCTAAACCCTAAACCCTAACCCCTAAACCCTAAACCCTAAACCCTAAACCTAAGCCCTAAACCCTAAACCCTAACCCTGAGACCCTGCACCCTGACACCTTATAAGCCAAGCAAGGCGTGCCCCATATTCGGAGTGAGTCTGGGCATCTTTGCCGACGCTGGGCCCTCGAAATCGGGATCCTCAGTTGGGGTTAGGGTTAGGGTTAAGGTTTTCATGGTTCAGGGTTCAGGGTTTAGGGTTTAGGGTTTAGGGTTAGGGTTTTCAGGGTTTAGGGGTTAGTGTCTTTACAGTCAATGGTGTGGGGGGGGCAGGATTTGCGGGGTCATGTTTGCCATCGGTCCGGTCATTCTTTTGCTTGGGCGGGCTTGCCGCTGACCGTAAACCCGGAACTTCGGGGACTGGGCAACCTAGATTCACAACGTGTGTGCCCGAAGCCCTAACTAAGCCACATAAACCTTAGTTTGACCCCTAAACCCTAAACCCTGAACCCTGAAACCTGAACCCTGAAACCTGAACCCTGAACCCTAAAACGCATGGTTGAGCGCAACAGAATCCTGGCTGTGCTTGGGGCCATTGGGCGCCGGCTGTGCGCTCGCACGGGGATTCGCATGACTAATTTTTCTCTTAGTAGTTAGTAGTAGAGTAGGTAACCTTTAACCTTTTTTGGGTATTCTAATCCCACTAGAATCCCAAAGGTTAACCTTTAAATAACCCCGAGTTACTGGACAACTAAGTTCTTAGCTGGAAAAATGCCTGGGGCTCGCCAGGCTCCTTGGCCCCGGCGTCTGACTTGGGGGTTTCGGGCGGGTCCCTTCTTGAGTTCCCTCTTTGCATGCGGCCCCGTTTTTTTATACATACGATCATGTGATTCTGTATAATCTGTATGTGTTGTATATCTTGTCTATCTATCTGTCTACTTATCTATCTATGTGTTTACTTGTGTTTCTTCGCCATTTGTACTGTGAATGTGTACTATTTTTTGTCGTATTCTTACCTATATTTCTACTTCTTCTGTTTACTTGTATATATATATATATGCACATCTAGAGAGAGAGAGAGAGAGAGAGAGAGAGAGAGAGAGCCATAGAGTTGCTACATAAAACGACTATGACGACATGACCAGGTGTCGCGGCTCTTCCAAGCGAAGACAAAGTGGTCCGCGGAGGTTCGTTGGATTTTGGGGGCCACAGGCCGGATGTCCTCCAGCTGCTGGATATAAGGGTATAGAGTGGGGAAGCGCCCCCTTATACTAACA